TTGATCTCTGAAAGACCGGACCTTGGGGTCTAGTGTGAACAGCTCATCTGTCTCATTCATTATTCTCTCTCTCTCTCAAACTCTCTTCCTCTTCTCACCATCTCTAAATGACAGCACCCATATACTGATTTTTATCTTTATTATTAATAGGATTTAATATGTTCTGCTAGCCAAATAGGGCTTTTATTTTAGGTTTAATAGTTGTTCTATATTTAAAACACTTGAGTACAAAAGAAAATCTTCAGTTATAACAATCCAGGTGTTACCATGAAGAGTTGTTACCTGCACTAAAACCACAAAACATTATGAAAGATTTTATTTTTTGCCAGCTCAGGCTGCCATAACTAAATACCACAGACTGGGTGTCTGAAATGACAGGAATTTATTTTTCACAGGTCCAAGATCAAGGTACTGACTAATTCAGTTCCTTGGGAAGGTGTTCTTCTGGCTTTCAGAGAGTTGCCTTTTCTGTGTCCTCACAAAAGAGCTCACTGGCTCTGGTCTCTCTTCCTCCTCTTCTTCTTCTTCTTCTTTTTTTTTTTTTTTTTATTTTATTTATTTATTTGACAGACAGAGATCACAAGTAGGCAGAGGAGCAGGCAGAGAGAGAGAAGGAAGCAGGCTCCTTGCTGAGAAGAGAGTCTGATGTGGGGCTCGATCCCAGGACCCTGGGATCATGACCTGAGCCGAAGGCAGAGGCTTAACCCACTGAGCCACCCAGGCACCCCTCTCTTTCTCTTCTTATAAGGACACTAATCCCTTCCATGGGGCCCTACCCTCACGACCTCATCTAAACCTAATTACCTCCCAAACAGCCTCCCTCCAAACACCAGCACATGAGGGGTCCGGGCAACAATATAACTTTGCAGGGCGGGGATAACTGTCCAGAGCTGATTATTTGTTTCCTTCTGAAATCACCTTCAAAGAAGCCAGGCAAGAGTTGAAAACCTAACCAGGGGCTCCAATAAACTGTTACTGAGTAATGCTTTCGAGTCTACAACTAATGTTCCCTAATTGTCCAGGAACATAGTCGTACCATAAGCTACTCGCGGTAACTGGCATTATATAAACCAGGTAGAGGCTGGGCATCAGGAAGATGCTATTTTGGCAGGCGAGGCCCGTAGCCGGGCCTTACCTCCTCATTCTTGTGGCCTCCCAAGCCCTGTGCTTTGACTTCTCAGCTCAGCTCCTGTTCTTCGCTGGGCTCTTTTGCTCAATGACTCAGTTTGACTCATTCTCATGGATTTTGACTATCTCAGCTCCCTTCGCTGGGCTCTCAACAAGTCCACCCACTGAAATAATAGATACAAAGCATTTCCGTGTCAAGCTGGTGGGCGATTGAGCTGACCCTGCCCACCCCCCCCCCAAGAGCTGGGTGAGGTGGGCATTTCCCATTGTTCAGGATTTCTCTCTCAGAAGAAACCTCAAAGTTAGATTTCAGTTCTTAGGGCCGTATTTTTCGCATCATTTGGGCCTTCCCTGTATCAAGATTAGAACCAATGGGTGGTATGGGGTGAGACAGGGAGCAGTTTAGCCCACTTAAAATCTCCTTTAGTTGCTTACCCTTGGCCACTCTAAATAAAGCTACAATTGAAGTAAAAATAGTTTATCTTGAATACGAGTCCCCTAACTCTCCCACCTTCTGACCAGATTGTCATCTTATACCTTCATCTATAGAAATTCTGAAGCTACCATCCAGCACGCATGCACAGAAGAAAACACACACTCACACACACACACACACACACACACACACACACACACACACACGATCATGGGAATTGTTGCCTCCATACCTACCCTTCTATTCCGACCAAGCCACTCTAGTGCAAATGCAGTGATCACTTCACTAATCTGTGGAATAAAACCACCGAAGTTATTTCTGTTTCTCTAGATTCTTCTACTCCAGTTCAACCGGCCAGTTCTGTCTGCTGATGTTCTTAGTCCTCTGCTTTCATCATGATACTGTTACTACTCACAAACCCGTCATAGCTTCCTAAAGTCAAAAGACTATGTCTTCAGTTTGGTTTTCAAAGTTCTTCACAGACGCTCCCTGGTGGTCTAGTGGTTAGGATTCAGCACTCTCAAAGTTCTTCACAAATGCCTTTCCAGACTTACTTTTTACCACTTAGTAAAAGTGGGCAACTCATTATTTTTAACTCCACATTGGAGTTAAAACTCCAAAGCAAATTTTCTTTCTGCCCTTCAGCTACTCCATCCACTTTGATTTCTTGGTGCAAATTCCCAAGCTTTTTCTGACTTAATATTTCAATTTGACATATTTTGAATAATTTGTTTACCTCCGACTTTATTAAATTCCTTCTTCACTGACCTAGGGTTTGCTTCTTCCTTGATGTCTACAATGGAACTTTTCAATGACTCTTTTAGATCCTAGTTTTGGTTACAAGAATTTTGTTAAAGAATTATTAAAACACAGCTCTCTCCCTGCTCTCTTTCCTGCTCCTCTCTAGTGAATTCTTCCAACACAATCGGAAAATCCTTAGCCTAAGGCCCACACAACCAGAAACCCTGCTTGCTCTCTCATTTTCTACCAACCTTCCCTTCACCCATGCTGCTCCAGCCATGCCTGCCTTTTTATTTCTAGAACACACCGAGCTCACTCTGGCTACTGGATCCTTGTAGATCTGTTCTTCCTGGCATGCTCTTCCTGCCTGGCTGATTCCCTCACTTCAGCTAGGGCTCGGTTCAAATGTCACTCACAGACGCCTTCCCCAACACTATTTTAATTTCCCTTACTTGCTGCCCCCTTTGTTCTGCTTTATTTTTCTCTACGGTACTGATCACTATAGACACATTACAAATGCATTTGTTCATTTTCTACCTTGTCCACGAGGGCAAGAACTTTTGTCTGCTTTTTTCACTGTTAGATCTCTGCCTGGCACAGACTGGGTATTTAATAATTATTTAATGAGTAAATCGATGAACGGGTGGGCTTTTATATAGTTTGCATAGAAATTAAAAAAAAAAAAAACAAAAACCAACCTGCTACTGGTGTTTGTTCCTAGTTTAGCAACATACCAGTCCCTGTCATTGTGGGGATTTCTGCAGAGGTGGTGGTCTTCTCCCAAGCAGAGTGTGGCAAGCACAGTATTAGATGGCAGGGATTAATCCAGAACAGCTTGGCTCCTGAGCAGAGCAGACTGGCATCCAGCCTTGGGTCGGTGGCTGCCTCCAGCGGAGGAAGGATGTATCTCTTACAGAACACTTAAAGGCCTTAAAAGTAGTTTCCTTTTTTTTTTTTTTTTTTTAAATATGGACAACTCCAATTGCTCCCGCAGCACTTAGTACTTTAAGAAATGTTAGTCTATTTCTTTTTTTTTTTTTTTTAAGATTTTATTTATTTATTTGTCATAGAGAGAGAAGCGAGAGCGAGCACAGGCAGACAGAATGGCAGGCAGAGGCAGAGGGAGAAGCAGGCTCCCTGCCAAGCAAGGAGCCCGATGTGGGACTCGATCCCAGGACACTGGGATCATGACCTGAGCCGAAGGCAGCCGCTTAACCAACTGAGCCACCCAGGCGTCCCTGTTAGTCTATTTCTATTGGAGTCTACAGTGGCCCATCTCTCACTCTGGGTTGCTTTATTTTTATTCTCTTGATAAGTCGACTTTGGCTTCTAACAGTTCAGTAAGCCAAAGATCTGATCTTATCAAAACAGCACAGGAGGCCTTATGACGGCAGATCAAAGGGTCCTGTAGTCTTGAATGTTACCATGAATCCAGTTAAAGGAAATTCTAAGTTTCTATTTTTTTTAAAAAGGAAATTTGGGGCACCTGGGTGGCTCAGTGGGTTAAGCCTCTGCCTTCCGCTCAGGTCATGATCTCAGGGTCCTGGGATCGAGCCCCGCATCGGACTCTCTGCTCGGCAGGGAGCCTGCTTCCCCCTCTCTCTGCCTCCCTCTCTGCCTGCTTGTGATCTCTCTCTGTCAAATAAATAAATAAAATCTTTAAAAAAAAAAAAAAGCATTCATTCAACCTTTAAAAACAAGCAAAAAAAGGAAATTTAAAAATCAGTAAGTTTTAATTTTATTTTTCAAAAAAAGATTTTATTTGAGAGAGTGGGGAGTGGCAGCAGAGGGAGAAGCAGACTCCCCACTGAGCAAGGAGCCTGATGCAGCACTCGATCCCAGGACCCCAAGATCATCACCCAAGTGAAGGCAGATACTTATCCACATGAGCCACCTAGGTGTCCCTAAGTTTTAATTTTTAATGAGATAAAAAAATTCCACCAGATGCCCACGTCAGATACTTTCAGTACTACTTTGAACTTTTCAAAGCACATAGTGCAAACAAAAGTTCTCTTACTGAGGGGGCGCCTGGGTGGCTCAGTGGTTGAGCTGGGACTCTTGGTTTCCGCTCAGGTTGTGATGTCCGGGCTGTGAAATCGAGCCCCTGTGTCCCTGGGTCAGGCTCCAAGCTCAACGGGGAGTCGGCTCGAGATTCTCTCCCTCTTCCTCGGTTCCTCCCCCGCTCACACACTCGCAAATAAATTCTTAAAAAAAAAAAAAAAAAAAAAAAAAAGCTCTATTTATTTTCAACTGAAAGAAAATGGCACCTCGACATTTTATTTCTCCTGAATTGTCTCACACAAAAAATTTATCCTCACTATTAGCCTAAAGAGAAACCTGAACAAAACAGTACCCTATTTTCATCACACCTTTTTTCTTAAAAGGTGGTGAGTGACCTCTGGAGGCAATTGGACAAACTATCCTGCTGCTTTCAGGAGTGAAGTGGGGAGAATTAGAAAGTAGATCCTTCCACTTAGAGGTTTTTTTGTTTTGGGGTATTTTTTGCAAGTTTAATCAGGATGAATTAAAGCCTTTAACTAAAATTAGTTAACTGAATTGAACCTCAATTCAGTTTAATAATGTTTATTAAGTATGTAATACAATGCTACAAGGGAGATAGAGACATAAAACTTTGGGGTTACAATCCACCAGGAAATGAAAGATAAGTGCTAAAATATTTATAATACAAGCTAGAATGTGTAAGAAAATTGAGCAGTGGCACAACTACACACGAATTCAGATTTTTGGTAAGGGTGACCAGAGAAAGTCTACTACATTCAACAAACATTTCCTGAAGACCCACTTTGCGCCAGGCACTATGCTAAAGGATAAACAAGACATGGTGCCTTCCCTTCAATACTCTGAGTATGGTAGGGAAGATGACACATAAACAGGAACATTCTGGATGAAACAGTAGGTGGACTATTAGTATTACGGAGAGGAGGGTCAGGAAAGGCTGGCTAGAGGAGGTAACGGCTAAGTGGATTCTTTTTCTTTTCTTTCCTTTTTTTATTTAAAGATTTTATTTATTTATTTCAAGAGAGAGCATGAGCTGGGGGAAGGGCGAAGGGGAGGGCAAGGGGGAGAATCTCCAGTGACTCCATGCTGAGCGGCCTTGGGTCTCCCCACGGGGGCTCCATCCCATGATCCTGAGATCATGACCTGAGCCAAAACCAAGAGTCGGACCCTCAACTGAGAGCCACCCAGGCGCACCACACCTAAGCAGATTCTTTTTTTTTAAATAATATTTTTATTTTTTATAAACCTATAATGTATTATTAGCCCCAGGGGTACAGGTCTGTATGTACACATACCCTCCCCAATGTCCATACCTAAGCGGATTCTTAAAGGTGGGAATAGTTCTGGTATAGCTTTGGCATCACAAAGCTACTCCTGTCCATCTCTCCCGCTAATCACAACTAAAAACTCATGACAAAATACAGACAACGACTGCCTGAGGACTCTGAAAAAGTACAAGACTGTGAAGGGGAGGCACAACTTGGAAAAGGAACCCATCAGGGGATGGGTTTCCTGGCCTTTTCCCCTCTTGTCGTTTCTGTCCTAAGGAGAGGCCCCACGTGGGAACTGTTTGGCTGCATGAGTAGCTAACTCTGTGACAGAAGCTCTGTCTCTCCATCCAGGGATACCGAGGGCAGGTCCAGCGAACTGAGAAGAGGGGCCTCTGTGAGTTGGAAAGTGAGCAGGGAGGAAGGAGAGGACAGGGTCACCGAAGGGGTTTCCTAATTTTGTGTAGGAACCACTGTCAGTCTTAGGTTCACTGCTGACTTGGACTTGTCTGCAGGAGGCCCAAAGCAGCACAGCACAGGAAAGCCTTTGACAACCAGCAGTTAATCATGGGCCAACTCTCAGACCAACCCCTGAGTGGTACATGCTCAGGACAGACCCGGAGCAACAGAGCAGAGGCTTTGAAAACTGAACTGAGATTGAAACCAACAACTACCGAAGGCGATGCAAAACCTGTAATGTGAACCCCATCCGGGCGCTTGCCTGCTTAAACAAACATACATTCTCCAGAGGAGGATTTTCACAGGATCCGGGGCAGCACCACGTTAACTGTCACTATGTTCAAGAGGCGAGAGGAAATGGCCTGTGTAAAAATTAATAGGAGGAAACTTTGCTTAAAATGACGGCAGGAGGCCAGCAGGGGGAGCTCTCGTGCTCTTGCTGCTCGTGGTCACCTGCCGCTCTCACAGCAGGAGACATTCGTTGCTCTGGAGCAAACTGGGTGCTGCTTCTAAATACTACCTTACTCTCCTAGCAGGAAGAGAGGCTTTCCTCCTCCTCTGGCAGCAGCCCAGTCAGTGAGAGACTGTCACAACTCAGCCATGAAAAGCCATTATACTTTGAATTCCCACTTCACCCCAATGGACTTTTGTTTGTAGCAGTTCTCCCAACTTCCCCCCTTTCTTCCATAAAAGAGTCATCCTTCCCTTTGTTCTCTAGACTTCTGATGGTTTTGCCATAGCTTGCGGTCCTGGACTGCAATTTTCTGTTCTTCCCAAATAAATCCATTTTTGCTGTTAAAATAACTGGCTGTTTTATTTTTAAGGTTAACACCTGTCAGACAAAGAACCAGGAAACTGTGGCCAAATCCTGAGGGAAGAGACAATCAACAAAACAACTCTGAGATAACACAGGTGTTGGAATATTCAGACGAAGACTCTAAATCAGCTTCTACGTGTTGCAGGAGGTAAAGATAAACACATTTTCAGCAGAGAAACAAAGCATGAAAGAAACCCCCACGTAGAAATTTTGAACTGATCAATATCTAAAAGAAACAAGTTCACGGGATAGGTGTAATAGCACAATGGAGATGATGAAAGAAAGCGGCCCTGAACTTGAAGATAGATAAGTTAACAGAAATTACCTACAGAGCAGAATAGGATAAAATGCTGGAAAAAAGAACACAGGAGCATCAGGGACCTGTGCAACAGCATCAGAAGGTCTAACATACAAGTCACTAGAGTCCCAGAAAGACAGGTGAAAGAGGTTGAGAAAAATTATGCGAAAAAGTAATGGCTAGAAACTTCCCAAATTTGGTGAAACTTCCAGAAGACTAGAGTGGAGAAAACCAATTAGGAACTTAGGGGAATAGTTTTGGTGAGAAGTTATAAAGTTCTAAAAGTAGTCTGTGATAATAGCATTGAGAGCTGGTTCCAGAAATATCTATGGAGGTAAAGTTGGCAGGACTTGGTGAGGAGAAAGAAAGAAGCATAAAGACAGGATCTCACGGTCCTTACAAAGATAGCCAGGTGGGTGGTGATATCCGCATGGAGTATCACAGAAGAGGGGCAAATTTATTTAGGAAAAAAAAAGGAGCTTGGTTTTAGGCAATAAAGATGAAATACTGCGAAGCTTGACTTCCTACAGAGTATTTTTGCTTATATTAAATCTCAGTGAGCAAGTCGGAGGTGTGTCGCTCGACAACTCCTCCATGGAGGACGCTCCAAAATCCTTTGCAACCTGCCTCTCGTACAACCTTCTCTTTTCTTCAATACATTATGCCTTTCGTTTCAGCTACATCAGACTTTTCTCAAAGAGGCCTTCCCTGATCCTGAAATCGAAAAAGGTTCTCTTAAATCACAGCGCCTGTGCTTTCTCAGGTAAACTGGGAAAGGCTCCAGGACCAAATGGATGGGGCTGGAGAGATGGGCTGGAAAGGAAACGATGAGGAGCTTTAGGTTTGTAGTGAGGGTAAAAGTCATCGGGCGCAACAGCACATTTCCGAAAGACGGTAAAAAATATTCACACGTCTTGAGGCCGTGATCTGGTCAAAGAGCAAAAGGGAACAAAAAGCTGGAACTGGGTAAAGAAGACGAGGCTTCCTTCTCCACCGGCACACCTTTACTCGGGGATCCTGGAAACCCGCGTCCTGCTCGTTTCTGACAACGGTATCACTCGCCGGGACTGGAGCCAGAGTGTGCTTGAAACCTCGGCTGTGGGTCCGGACTCTTGAGTTACTGTTACACTATGTACAGCCCCCGATTTCGCTGACTGACCCTGGGCACCTTGCTACTTATTCTCTCTGACTTAATCCTGCGATCTGTAAAACGAGGATAACCCGGACTTTGGAGTGTCGTTCGGAGGATTCACGAACACCCATGAACGCTCACATAGGAAGTTCAACAAATGCGGCTGAGTGACAGATGGACACAGCTCAAAGGAGCGAGGGCAGCAATTCTATAAAGCTGCACAGGGGACAGACCACTGGGCTCCCTTTGCCCTGCGAGGAGACCCGGGGAGCGGGTGCAAAGCCAGACCCTGCCAGTCCTGGCCCGCTTTTTCGCCCGCAACCGCGTGGCCTCGTCTTACCTCACGCCCCCGCGGAGCCCAGGCTGCAGCTTCAGCTCACTCCGCCACGCGGCGCGCGCTCGCTGGGCTTCTGTGGGCTCAGCTGTGTGTGATGCGACGGCCCGGGCGCCACGTCCGGTCTCCCAGGCAACCACAGAAACTTCCGGTTTGCGAGCGGCCGCGGTTGGCGAGAGGCCACATTTCCGCCACGTGACCCCCTCCGACACCTCGCGGGCTGAAGGGCTGGCGTCACCGGCCTGCAACACCCTGCGTGTCCCGAAGTTCGACTTCCCCGCCTCGACGAGGGGCAGGTCCTGGGGAAGTGGCTGCCGAGGGGACGGCCGGGCCTGGAGGGGCGGGGCCGGGGCTTGGCTCCCGGGTCCCGAGGCTCCGCTGAGAAGCCGGGCGGCGGCAAGACCGCTTCTCCTCAGCCGCCGAACTGGAGTTGGAGGTGGAACTCCGTGGGGCCCGGGCCCCGGCTGCCGGGCAGCGGCTCCTCGGGGTCCAGGCCGCGGCGGAGAATGAGGCGGAGGCGGTGGCGGTGGCGGGTTTCAGGCGGGGCCGCCAGGCTGGAAGCATCCTGCGCTGGTTCATCACCGTGATCCTGTGTGCTGCCTTCCTGGGGCTGGTGAGAGCCGGGGCTGGAATCCTCCCAGGCCGGGGCCTGAGCAGGCGTCCTGCAGAGAACGCCGGCTTCTGAGTTCGAGTCTCACCTCGGCCACTTGCAAACTGCGTGACCTTGGGCGCGTTCATCTGCCCCCAACCTTAGTTTCCTAATCGGAAAAATGGGCACACTGCTAACGTTCTAATGTTGGAGGGTTATTGTCAAGTGCGAAATTGATTTTCCTAGTATATTTGTCAGCTCCAGCAAACCTTCCTACTTCTGCGTGGGGTGGGGAGTAGATGCAAGGGGGTATTGCCAGGTCTATAGGCCCTGCCCCCCATGAGTCCACGCAGACCCCAGATTATTACACAAAGCTGCTTTTCTGGTATTTCCTCTTCCTTACCTGACCAAGTTCAACCAACCCCTTACCTTTGCAGAAGGGGGAAATAGACCGAGAGAGGGAAAATGACTTCCGGACCACACAGCTGGTTTTTCTTTTTCTTTTTCCTTTTTTTTTTTTTTTTTAAGATTTTATTCATTCATTTGACAGACAGAGATCACAAGTAGGCAGAGAGGAAGGGAAGCAGGCCCCCTGCTGAGCAGAGAGCCCAGATGCAGGACTCCATCCCAGGACCCTGATATCATGACCACAGCTGAAGGCAGAGGCTTTAACCCACTGAGCCACCCAGGTGCCCCCACACAGCTGGTTTTAAGTGGTGGAGGCAGGAATAATGTGTTTCTTATTCTGCCCACAATCCTATGTAAAACAAACCTTTACATCTTTCAGTGTTAGATTCGAGCAAACCAAGACTAGAAGAGCCTTTTGACAAACCCCTTGGCTGTCCCACGAGTCCCTAATTTCTGGAGATCCTCTCACCACTTGTAGAGATTTGGGATCTTGGGGGTTTGGTAGGGTGAGTCAGTCCCTCTGAGGAGAGTCACTTCTCAGTCCTCTGAGAAAGTCACTTAGCGTCTTTCGCTTGAGTGACAGTGGATTCCTAGAGTATTTTGATTTGAAAAAAAGAAAAATCATTGAAGATGCTTCTTGAGCCCTCACCTGTGCCAGGTCCTGTTTTAAGTGCTTTGCAATCAGCAAGGAATTGGATTGGAGATGGAGCTCAGCCTTTCCTCCATGTACCAGTGCTCGCTCTGCCCTTAGTCTGGGACTGCTCTGGCTTGGGCAGGATGCAAACCTGTATTTTGAGCAGATATTTTGAATTATTCTTGAAGCATAGACCCATTAGAAATATCCAATAAATATTTTTAAGTGTCCAACAAGTATTCTCTGATGGCTTGGGGTTTTCTTTGAAGAGAAATACAGATTTAGAAACATTTGAATTGTCTATTTCCTGTGTACTTTGGTGTGTCAGAAGAAGGATACCATGTGCATCCAGAAATATATTTGACAGCATCAGAAAACAGGAATGCTGTTTTGATAAATTTTTATGCTGGTTTGATAATTTAAATTTTTAACATCCAAATTCCTGTGTTATTTGTGCATATAGTATATTTCAAACTGCACAAAACTATTTCAAAAATGATTTTAATGTTACATTTCACTGTTAATACAAGAGTCTTTTGTGGTATTGTTCAATAAAGAAACAAAATTGCAGCAGAGCGCCAAAAAAAATTAAAGAAAAAATTTTTTTAACTTAAGAGTCGTAAAACTAGAAAACCAGTAGGATTGACACACCAAATACAGTATCCTATAGTTCTAGGAGTCCTAGTACTGTCATCCTGAATTTTTCCTGACTGTGAGATTTAAAGTGATTGCCTACATTTCACCGAAATCCCTTCCTCCCTTTTCATTTTTTAATTTAATTTTTTAGAGGTGGGGGAGGGGCAGAGAGAGAAAGGGACAGAAAGAATCTCAAGCAGGCTCCAAGCCCAGCGTGGAGCTCGCTCTCACAACCCTAAGGTCAGGATGGAGCTGAAATCAGAAAGAGTTGGCTTCTCAACCGGCAGCCACCCAGGCGCCCCTCCTCCTCCCTTTTTAATAGTGAAAAAAGCTACCACACAGATAAACACTTTTTTTTTTTTTTAAAGATTTTTTATTTATTTGTTTGACAGACAGAGATCACAAGTAGGCAGAGAGGCAGGCAGAGAGGAAGGGAAGCAGGATTCCTGCTGAGCAGAGAGCCCGATGCCAGGACCCTGAGGTCATAACCTGAGCCAAAGGCAGAGGCTTTAACCCACTGAGCCACCCAGGCGCCCCAGATAAACACTATCTTAATGATTATAAATAAAAGACTTTGTCTTTCTAAATTTCAGGGAATGAGTGTTGCAATACTGGGACCTACATTTCAAGATTTGGCAACAAACGTGAACCGCAATATAAGCAGTCTTTCTCTGATTTTCGTGGGCCGTGCCTTTGGATTTTTGAGTGGCTCAGTGATTGGTGGAGTTCTTCTTGACATTTTGAATCATTTTCTACTTTTGGGTAAGTAAAGCCCAATTTTAGCTTTTTACTTTCAAGGAATTTACAGTTTGTTTTTAAATGTGAAACATACTATGGTTGACAAATGGGTAGTGTTCTGGTGTCCTCAGTGGAAATCGGGTTTCCTTGGTGCCTGTTTTCATCTCAGCAGTTACCGGGAGTCTGTGTGGGGCTGCTCTGGAAATTTAGATTAGCCCTAGAATGTGTTCCTATCTTTAGCCTTCCTGACCATCACTGTAATTTAGGCACCCCCCCCACCCGGATCATGTACTAGTTGTCCAAAGAACTCTGCTTGTCAGGGTTTAGGGCACATCTTCTGGGGCCAATGAACATAGGCTAGAATGAATTCCTTGAACCTGCCCATTCTAGGCCCTGAACTGAGGGGAAGTACTGGGGGCCAAATGACATAGGCTAGATTTTTGTAGCTGCCCCATGTTCATGATTCCTCCAGACTTCTCTACCTCGCCCTTCAAATAGATGGCAAAGCTTTTAACTTCCTCTTTTTTGAAGAGATAGACACGTTTAAAGAAAATCTGGATTAAAGTGATAAAACTGCTTTGGAAGTAAGAAGAATTAATATATTGTTGTTGATGAATAAATGAATAATTGCTCAGATTTCCAAAGTGGGTTGAGAACATATCACTCTCTTGTATTTCCCTCCCTATTCCCAAGCTAAATTACTTAATACATTTCTACTACAAACTATCATAGCTGCATTTTATTTTTTTTCTCTTTAATTTTTTACCTCATACCTAAAAGTCTCCTTTTATTTATTTATTTTTTGATGTATTTATTTTGATTAAAAGTCTTTTTTTGTTAACATTTTATTTATTTGACAGACAGAGATCACAAGTAAGCAGAGAGGCAGGCAGAGAGAGAGGGAGGCAGGCTCCCCGCTGAGCAGAGAGCCCTATGTGGGGCTCGATCCCAGAACCCTGTGATCATGACCTGAGCTGAAGGCAGAGGCTTTAACCCACTGAGCCACCAAGGTGCCCCAAAAGTCTCTTTTTAAAATAGGAAATATCTTGGGACGCCTGGGTGGCTCAGTTGGTTGAGCGGCTGCCTTCGGCTCAGGTCATGATCCCAGCATTCTGGGATCGAGTCCCGCATCGGGCTCCTTGCTCGGCAGGGAGCCTGCTTCTCCCTCTGCCTCTGCCTGCCACTCTGTCTGCCTGTGCTTGCTCTCTCTCTCTCTCTCTGACAAATAAATAAACAAAATCTTTAAAAAAAAAAAAATAGGAAATATCTAAATATATTTGAGGTGTCAGTTTTGCTGTAAAACTTTGCCCTGTAGTATATGGTTTGATTATCAGCAGTGCTAGAAATGTACTTGTGTTAGATTAGCTTATATTTTATAGTCCGTAAAGATTATGAAAGCTTGTAAAGGAAATAACCGTTTATAGACGCTGAACCTCTCATCTACTTACTATTACCCAATTGTAATTTGACCTACCTTGCATTTATGGGAGTTTTTATGATGTCGACTTGATTCATGACTCTGTGAATATTGCTTCTTATAGCTGACTTTTACCTTTCTTCTCAGGGGTGTCAATGTTGACTACCACAGTTGGTCTTTATCTTGTTCCATTTTGTAAGACAGCAGTATTACTGATTGTCATGATGTCCGTCTTTGGTGTCTCAGCTGGCATTCTGGATACAGGTCAGTGAGCCCTGCAGGGTCATCTCTGGGAGTAGGACTTCCTACTGGAAAAAGTAGAGCAGATGACATCAAATTGTCATTTGCATTGTAAAATGACACCGACCTACTGAATTGCTCATGGGGTCACCCAGTCAGAACCACCCTCTGGCAACTACTCTTCCTGCCAAGTAGGGTGCCTGGTTTTGAGTAAATTTAAAGAATTCTGTTCAGTGAGGGATTATTGGCTTGCAGTATCCAAACAGGAATGGGTCCCCCATGTGGGTAATTATGGTGCAGGTGAGTGGGTGTTCATTTTGGGATAGAACTTGATCAATGTAGTGTGGGAGGAATTGATGGCTTAATAGGTTAAACTAACCTTGGAACCATGTTTGGCTGAAGAATCATAGAAGCAGCTATCCAATTTAAAAAGCACGCTGCCTTTTGAACTAAGAGAAACCTGTGCTGTGTGTTTTTTTCCTTCTCTCTCTCTTTTTTTTTTCCCCCTCACAAAAAGCCCCTGTCTTTCTACAGGAGAGCCTCTCCATGTGTCTTTTTATCTTTTAAAACCTACTAAACAATATACTTAGTATTTGTCCACCCCTAAGACCAGCTCTCTTCTTCCCTTGCTTTATTGTCACCTGATAGAGTGGGGATATTTTATACTTTAGGCTTGGTTTGGTTGTGAAATTATGGGGTAAGTTGTATGTTTATCTGCAAATATGTTAAAGAGAAAGAAAACACACTTAATGCTTCTTGCCTTTCGCCTTTGTTTCCTGTAATGGGCCCAGCAGAATCCTACAGTGTTCAGGTTTCTGAACGTGTGTTTTGCATCTGCTATATACATAAATAATTTTCCTCAACAGGTTATTTGGTAATTTGGCCATTATCTGATTATAACATATGTATTTAAAATGTTTATAAATAAATAAATATCCATCTCTTTCCCACCCTCCCTGCCCCCTGCCAGCCTCGTGTGAGAACTGTCTTGTAAAACGCCTTGGGCCAATGTGCCTGGCTCTAGGAAGTAGTGGTTTACTAGCTTGTAGAATCACATTTGTATGTGATTTTTTCCCAAAGCTCAGAGTTCTCCCATGGTGGTAGGTTAGAGTCCTTTAATCATAAAATCGACCGAGTTGCCACATTGGATAACTGAGAATACCTTAATCCTTGTGCCGTGTAAAACAGACCCCTTTTCCTTAGAGTAATGAACTATTTTTTGCTAAGTTACTATGATTAAATAATTTTCCTCATCTTTCATTGGTAGGTGGTAACGTCCTAATCTTGGCTATTTGGGGGGACAGAGGAGCCCCCCATATGCAGGCCTTACACTTCAGTTTTGCCTTGGGTGCCTTTTTGGCTCCCTTGCTGGCTAAGTTGGCACTGGGCACGACGGTGTCTGCTGAGAACCGCACAGAGGCTGACTCTAGCCATTCTGCTCTCAACCCGTCATCTGAAGCTGACTCAGAATCTGTCCTCGGAGTACCCGACAATATGAATCTGCTGTGGGCGTATGCTCTTATCGGTACTTACGTCTTTGTAGTTGCTATCTTTTTTTTGGCTCTGTTTTTAAAGAAAAGCTCAAGGCAGGAAAAAGCAAAAACATCTGCTCAGAGGTCTCGAAGAGCTAAATACCACAATGCCCTTCTCTGTCTCCTTTTCCTGTTCTTCTTTTTTTATGTCGGAGCTGAGGTCACATACGGCTCTTACGTTTTCTCATTTGCGACCACCCACGCTGGCATGAAAGAAAGTGAAGCGGCTGGGTTGAACTCCATCTTCTGGGGGACCTTTGCAGCCTGCAGGGGCCTCGCAATCTTTTTTGCTACGTGTTTACAACCCGGAACCATGATTGTGTTAAGCAACATCGGCAGCCTGGCATCGTCCTTACTGCTGGTGCTTTTCGACAAGAGCCCGGTTTGCCTCTGGATAGCGACTTCAGTGTATGGGGCCTCCATGGCAACCACATTTCCCAGTGGTGTTTCTTGGATTGAGCAGTACACCACCATCCACGGGAAATCTGCAGCGTTTTTTGTCGTCGGTGCCGCCCTGGGAGAAATGGCTATTCCTGCAATAATTGGAATTCTTCAAGGACAGTACCCTGATTTGCCCGTGGTTTTATACACCTGTTTGGGGGCATCGATAGCCACCACTGTTTTATTTCCCGTGCTCTATAAATTAGCCACCGCACCTCTCCATCCGCAGCGAAAAGGGCACAGAAAAAGCGAGGACCAGAAAGCTTTGCTGTCTAGTTCTGAGCTAAATGACTATGAGGATGACAATGAAGAAGAGGAGGCAGAAAAATGGAATGAAATGGATTTTGAAGTGATTGAAATGAATGATACAATGAGGAATTCTGTAATAGAGACATCTAGAAGTATTTTGACGGAGCCCTTAGCTGAAGTCTCCAGTCAGTCCCACCCCAGTGCAGTGGTGTTGCAGTCCCCTGTGAATCACCTTGCAAGAAACCAGGCAAAAAGGGACTAACACCTGGAGAAGATGGATTATTCTGACCTCCTTGAATAATCTCCAGTTCTCATGAAGCCAGGCAGAGCAGAGCATTAACAGATTATCAGCATGCTTTGGGGAATCAAAATTTCTAGGTCAGAGTATAGCAAATGCTACAAAGTTTTGAAAGGTTCTGTAATTCCAGAATTTTCCATAAAGAACAAGTGGTCTCGTATGGCAGGATCTTCTTGTGAGGCTAGTGTTTGGCATGTGCCTGATTAGGTAATGTTCTACGGTCTCTACCCCTCAGAGCACACAAAGAAGGTGTTTGTAGTTGAGAAGTTGGGTGCTGTTCTAATAGAACGAAACCATCTAGTAGATGAATCGATTAGCAGAGCAAGTGGTCAGTCATCAGTATTCTACCAGGGAAGTAGAGGATTGTCGTTTCATAAAAGAGCAACTTTGAAAACGGACAGACATTTTTTATTAATTGCTTTGCCCTCCCTGTAGTGTTGCACGGGAGAATGCTGATGCTTCATTTGATTTCTGGTTTCTATGAGGAGAACACAGACAGAACCTTAGAGACCTCACTTCATGACTGCTGCTTATAGTTTTCTGGCTCTATGCTCAGTCCCTTCACTTAAGTAGGCCTGGTTTATCTGTCTCCTGATACATAATTCTATTAGTGACAATGAGATGATTTTCAAACCAGGAATCCATCAGTTTCAAAGTTTGTACAAGAAAAAAAAAGTAAAAAAAAAAAATTCATGCAAGGTGTCTGTTAGAAATTAACATAAGTGCCATCCACTCTTCATTTCAAATGAGAAGTGAAACAAAGTGATAGTTTTGAGAATACTACTGGTTATGAATACATGTCAATTTAAGAGACTCTGTGTTTAATAATTACCCACGAAACACATTTTTCAGTACTGTGTTCCATCAGTTCTGAGATGCACCTTTTTTTCACATTTGTAACAGCTCTGAAATCAGAATAGGTCTTAAAGCCCATGGTCACTTAACATTTTGTGACAAAATTTAATTGACAGTTATCCACATGCATTTACAAAATAATGTTGCATGTTACAATCGGCATTTTGCAGTACTTCATTCAATTATGGAGATTTTACTATTTTTACAGATATTTTTAAAAAGTTATTTTTATATGCTGATTTTTTTGATGTTCAGGTGGGATTTGGAGATGGAATGTTCCGACTTTAAAAGCTGTGTGAGAATTACTGTGTTAGTAGTGGGGTCTACCTTAGTAACAAAGCCTGGGTCTGGGCCTTGCTCTTAGAGGATCTGCTCCTCATTGAGGCCGGCTGGCAATCACACTGTAGGCACGGTCAGCCAGGCTCTAGTGTCATTTACAAAGGGATGTACTGGAATATTTCTATCACGCCCCCCCCCCCCCCCGACCCCTCACACAGGGTTCTTCCTTTCTGAGTTTGAAGTACCTGGGAAATGAAAATAATGATTAGAAAGGGGCTTGGTGGCATAGGATTCCGGAATCACAAAGGGTACTTCATATGAATGTGGCAAAGCTGGTGCGAGCTCTCGTTTGATAAATGACCAGCACTGATGACAGCTTGTGTTTCCTTGTCTTTACCATGTTTTATGGTGACTAATGTTTCATTTCTACCTGCTTGCAGTGTGTTTGCTTTCTCTTGTTTATCTGATTTCTGCGAATTTGCCTTTGTTTTTTTCTTGAGTGAAATACCGTATCGTTTTCGACCACTGCCCGTTCACCTTCAATACCTTCCACAGTGTGGGTTTGTATATAACCTAACAATTTTGGAGAGGGCTGGTGGAGAAATTGACAGGAAAAAGCGTATTCTTCTTGCACTTTTTGTATTGTACTTTTCTCTTAGCTACGCCTTGGAGACCACCTGTATTCCATTTACTGCTTTTTCTCAGGTTGTTGGAATTTAGGCAGTGGATGCTCTTTGGCAGCTGGGAAGCTTGCTAGAACAGGGATTCTGTCTGCAGCGTCTGCATTTAAGGGGTAGAAGATGCAGCTCAGGGAGAGAAGGATGGTAAGAAGAACATGGCAGAAAATTTGGAAATCCACACTGGAAAATCCACTAGCGTTCCACAAACCAAAATGTGAATGGCCAATATGAGATTGTAGGTGTTGTTAAAGTTTGACGTATTTCCATATTGGAAGGATAAGACTTCGTACAATTCCAAGAATTAGCATTCATTCTAATAATCAGTCCTTAGATAAGTGTCTGCTGATATACAAGAACCAATACTGAAGTTTTCTATTGCTGAATAACAGATTTAGCAGTTTACAACATTATTTTTGTTTATTAGGCTCCATGCCCAGTGTGGAGCCGAACGTGGGGCTTAGAACCGTGAGATTGAGACCTGAGCTGAGATGAAGAGTTGGTTGTCTAACCGAACAACAGAGAGTTTTTTGTCTCACAGTTTCTTGAGTCAGAAATTTGGGTACAATTTCACTGGGTCCTCTGCTCAGGGTCTTGTGGGGCTGCAGTCAAGCTTGCTTCTTTTCGGAGCTTAGGGTTCCCTTCTAGGGCCATGTATGTGGTTGACAGTATTCATGCTCTGGTAGGCTCAGGTCCCCATTTTTTTACTGGCTGTGAGCCGCCTCCAGTCCCAATTCCTAGAACTTCCCATAGTTCTTTGCCAGGCAGCCCTCTGGTAGATCTCTCACAACATGGCAGCCCATTTCCTCAAAGCCAGCAGGAGAATCTCTCACCCGAGTCGGCTAAGCTGAAGTCTTCTTTAACATGATGTAATCACAGGAGTGGCATCCCATCACCTTTGCCATATGCTCTTGGCTAGCAGCAAGTAATGGGTTCTACCCAAACTCAAGGGAAGAGACTAGTACAGAGATGTAATTCACTGGGGGGTCACCTTAGAGTATGTTTGCTACACTCTGACACTCGCAAAACCAAGGTTCAAGAGAACTAAAAAGTTTGGGCTGGGGACAAGAAGCCCTTAGCAGTCATCGAAAGTGATTATAGGTACCAAACTGAGTGAGCTAGTGTGGGTGTGGAAGGCTCCCCAAAGGCCAAGGCCAGTGGATCTGATGGAGGAGTTTCTTTCTGTGGTGGGGCAGTGGATGGGCTAACTCGGAATTAAGCCTTTTTTCCCTCTTGACATTTTATGTTCTTTTCCACTGTGCTTTTAACTTGCTTAAATGCAGCTTCCTATGAGAGAAATAAGTAAATTTCAGTTTAGTTATATTTTCATAATAAAGTCCAAGAACACTTGGAGAGCATCTTTCATTTACTCTTATGTTTCATAGAAAAATCCTTTTAAAAAATCTGTTTTTGTCATAAAAGTAATGAAGGTATAAAAACAGCTGGAAGATTAGGGAAGTACATAAAAATATAAGGGACAAGTATAAGTATTTTATGCAAAGCTTTTATTTATTTTTTGAAGTAAGCTCTGTACCCAATGTGGGGCTCAAACTCCTGACCCTCAAGATCAAGAATAGTATGCTCCATCAGCTGAGCCAGCCAGGCGCCCCTGGATAGGTATTTTATAATTCTAAACACATAGAAAAGTTCTTAACATTTCTCATCAACATAATTTCCTGGGTAAAGGAGTGAAAAAAAAAAAAAAAATCCCTCCTATCAGATAAAGTTTCGGAAACAGCTTGAATTTTGTGTCCAGAGTGCACTGCCACAGCAGCTGGTGGACTGGTTATTAGTTTGAAGAACTATAACTTATTAAAAAAAAAAAACAAAAAACGCAGGGGGCGCCTGGGTGGCTTAGTGGGTTAAGGTCATGATCCCAGAGTGTAGAGATCGATCCCAGCATCAGGCTCCCTGCTCAGTGGGGAGTCTGCTACTCCCTCTTCCACTCCCCCTGCTTGTGTTCCCTCTCTCGCTGTCTCTCTCTGTGTCAAATAAATAAAATCTTAAAAAAAAAAAAAGAAAGAAAGAAAAGAAACCTAATTGATCAGTGGAGTAACCCTCTTGAAAACTGTGAGAGCCCTGGGTTACATGTGAAATGATTTCATTTCAGGTAGAATCATTGAATAATCAGGATAGCTTTCTCATAACCATAACTTTTGGTTTACCATAGCACTGTATCACTCCTGCCACTTTAAAATTATTACTAAAATAGAGCTTAAAGTTTTGGTTTTTTTTTTTAAGATTTTATTTATTTATTTGACAGAGAGAGATCACAAGTAGACAGAGAGGCAGGCAGAGAGAGAGAGGGAGAGGGAAGCAGGCTCCCTGCTGAGCAGAGAGCCTGATGCGGGACTCCATCCCAGGACCCTGAGATCATGACCTGAGCCGAAGGCAGCGGCTTAACCCACTGAGCCACCCAGGCGCCCGAGCTTAAAGTTTTTAATGGAAGTAGATAATGTTCTTCTGGCATACCTTGTATCAGTGTCTGTGAAGTGCCACTTGTTTTCTTCATAGTGCTGTGAATGTGTTTGGATATGTGAACTCACGGATATTATGTGTATTTCATATTTTCCTATACTGTGGGGGTACAGTGGGGGTAGAGGTGGTAGAGAAGGGATACAAAAAAGCTTGAGGTATGGTTCCAAGCTTGTTAGAAATGGTCCTTTTTTTAATTGAAATTTTTATCACAACTATTATAGATTTACATGCAGTTGTACATAGTGTTTTTGTTTTTTCTAAATCTCTGAGCGAGAGCTACTTGCTCAATCTGGAGGGTAGAGAACTAGGCCAGTGCTTCTCATACATTAATGTGTGTTTGAATTCTTGTTAAAATATAGATTCTAATTCTGTAGTGCCTGGGATAGGGGCTGGGAGTCTACATTTCTAATAAGCTCTTACCTGATGGGGAGCTATTGGCCCATGGACTAGGCACATTTTGGGTAGCAAGATTCACTTTTTGAGAGGGTCAAATTCTTTGCTACTTTTGGGAATTCAGTTTGTTTTGTTTTAGCTCTTCTGAATCTGATCCTAAATCTATAGGAGTCTGTGGTTCCCACGTGCCCCCTCCTCTCTCTTACACCCAAACCCTAGGACACTATTCAGAGTTTTCTTCAGTCCTTTCCATTTACTGCATTGGCTCTTGAATATTTATTTATTATGTCTGTTGAATGTCTCCTACTTGGCAGTCTCTGTGAGAGGTGTTATGTTACACTGGTGAAAAGATCAGAAGTTTCCTACCTCCGTGGAACCTACCCTCTAAAGCAGGACTGTCCAATAGAATTTCCCACAATGATGGGAACATTTTATACCTGCACTGCCCAGTAGCCACTGGTCACATGTGGTGAACTGAGCCCTTGAAATATGGCTAATACACAGAAAATGGACTTTTTTTAAAAAAGATTTTATTTATTTATTTGACAGAGATCACAAGTAGGCAGAGAGGCAGGCAGAGAGAGTGAGAGGGAAGCAGGCTCCCTGCTGAGCAGAGAGCCCGATGCGGGACTCAATCACAGGACCTTGAGATCATGACCTGAGCCGAAATCAGGGACTTAACCCACTGAGCCACCCGGGTGCCCTGAAAATGAACTTTTAATTTAAATATCTACACTAGCTGGTGACTGTCATATTGGATAGCACAGGTCTACCGGAAGAAACCAGGAATCAAACAAATAATCAACCCAGCATGTTTCCAGGAAGGCTCTATTTTCTGTTAGACTAGAAATTTTCAAGTGTCTGGGGTCAGAAAGGTTGGGCTAGCTTCTCAAATGTTATGATATAAATTATCATGGCACTTAAGGAAAGGGCTGGTTTTACTTGGTCTTGATGGTAGAAAATTGTGCTTAGTCATCTGGAAGAGAAGGTT